GGTTTAGGGTTTAGGGTTTTATAGCGAAAGCTTCCCAAAGCAGAAAGTACAAGCGCAACAACTTTAGACACTAAACAGCCGATTTCGCCTGCTTCTCCCAGAGCTTCACCCCTTCTCTCAACGCAGAGATACTAGACATTTTCAGACGCCTCTAGCTGCACAGACTGACTGGCAAGAAAATGTGGCTTAAGCGTTACTACAGTCTACCATATTCGATACTTTCGAGTTCAATCGCTTCGGCCCCTTTTTTCATGCCAGCAATGATTCGCCAGCCAGGAGGGTTGTAGCACGCACACTCTCTCTGCACTCAGGCCTTAATTCCCCAAACCAATGCCATAAAATCCTAGTGCGCCGACCCTAAACCCTAAACCCCAGCTTCGTTGATGGTTCACAGGTCCCGGGTCCCGGGTCTTTGAATCCGGATGACCCCACACGCACAGCATTCGGAGCAAGTGTCTCTGGACTACAAAACTTTGGGCAGGTCATAGAAATTTCTATGATCACTTGAACTGGAATAAACTGATAGGGACTTGTAGATGCTGCAGAAGTGCCAGGTTTTCGGTGTGAGAAGTCAGCTCCAACTGATGCATGTCTACAGCATACATGCAGTGCCCGAAACCCTGGACAGACCGCCAATCTCATCTCTCATCCCTGATCCCAAGCCGTACGCTCTGAACCTCAACATCTACACTGAGGTTCATCTCGAAAGAGTTTCCAAGTCTTCTATGATGCCGAGACCTATATAGATCTGTAAATCCAACAGAGGCTTCAGTTTCTACAGGGCCCTCAAACTGGAAGTCCTTGGGTGCCTGACAAACAAGGTTGGGTAATATAGGGCTTTAATAATTAGAATAGGGCTTTGGGGCCACTGTACTATAATTATACTAAGGAAACCCCAAAATAGCATTAGTAAGTATTTAGGCCCCTGTATAACGACCCCAGTCACAGTCAGACCCTCCACCCTGAACCTAAACCGAAAGAGTGTGGGGTGCATTTGAACGAGTCGGTCTGCAATCGATTGATACCGCATCAAAGGGGCCCTTTGCGGGGACTACCGAGATGTAGAGATGGCATACGCTGGTGTCTTGCAGCTTTGGCTTTGCCATATGGGAGTTTCCGAAAATTAGGGGTACCTTATTTTGGGGCTACTATTTAGGGTGCTATATTAGGGTCCCCTATTTTCGGACACCCCCCATATAAGGTCGAGTCGTGCAGGACGAGACATGCTCAGAGGTTTCATAGGAGGTAGCCCTTCCCAGAGACTCCAATACCCCTTAATTAAGGAATATACCTTAAATCATATTAGGGATCCTACTATAATTTAAGGCATATTCCTTAATTGAGGGGTATTGGAGTCTCTGGGTAGCCCTTTCTCCAAAGCAAGGTCCGAGATCGCATGCAGGATAACAGTACAAGCCGGTTTCGCACTATACAGACGCACATACACATGTTGGTGTGAAAAACCAGGAAATGCATGTATGTATGTATGTATGTATGTATGTATGTATGTATGTATGTATGTGTGTATGTATGTATACATATATATATATATATGTATGTAAAGATGTAAACAAACGTATATACCAACAGGCAAGTGCCACTATGTGTGTAAGTGTATGTATACATATCTATAGTACATATTTACACATGTAACATTTGTGTTCGTATGTGTATCTATCCATCTGTCTATCTACCTGTCTACCTATCTACCTATCTATCCATCTATCTATCCATCTATCTATCTATCCATCTATCTATCCATCTACCTATGTATCTATCTATCTATCTATCCTTTATCTATACATCTGTTTATGCCTATCTACTTATCTAGCTAACTATCGATCTATCGATCTGTCTACCTAATCTATCTGTTTGTCTACCTAATCTTTCTATCTATCTATCTATCTATCTATCTATCTATCTACCTATGTATCTATCTATCTATCCGTCTATCTTCCTATCTATACTACATGTGTTTATACCTGACTATCTATCTATCTATCTATCTACCTATCTATCTGGCTTTATCTATCTGGCTCTATCTATCTATCTTTCAATCTATTTATCTATCTATCCATCCATCTATCTATCTATCTATCTATCTATCTATCTATCTATCTATCTTATCTATCTGTTCTATCCAGTCTATCGAATCCATCTATCTTTCTGTCTATCTATCTATCTATCTATCTTTCTTTCTTTCTTTCTGTCTATCTATATGCAGAGCACACGCTTACTGTTCGGCGCAGAGTTGGGTGATAGGTAGACAGTGGCAAATTGCGATGGCATGACTATGACTTAGACTTATGCTTCTTTGCAAAGACTTGCTTTTGTGGAGCGTAGCCCCCAGCCATCTGGCAGAGCCCTTCGTGTATGACCGGGCGCATTTTTGAATATGAAGTTTGCAGCGACAATGAGTTTTTCACTGCTGTGATTTCAAGACTCCTGTGAGAGTCAATTGGGGTCAGGTGATGAGTTTGTCGCAGCCCCGTTTGCAATCACTTTTTGATCCAGTATCATTTTTCAGACGGACTTTGACCAGGCATCTTTTGGGTGACATCGACAACGAGGTTGCCCATCTTAACTTGGTTTATTTCTGGTTGTCTGGTAGGGCTTGACATTTGTGGATTTTAATTTTTGTTGCTTATGCGAAGGGTGCCGGAGCACATTTTTCATGTGGGGTTCACAAGACTTGCAAACCGGTGCCCTTCCGGACGAGATCCCGATGCCTTTAGCATGAATTTGGGGGCCCGAATCACTATCCATATGATACCCCCTGTTCCTGAATGTAAGTATGCTATAATATACATGAAGCCCGAGCAGCCGTGCTCTAGCCATGACTCTGTGATCCTTCAAATTCGACTTGAGAGCTTGGGGTGTATAGGGTTTAGGGTTTAGGGTTTGGGCTTGAAGGCTTAGAGTGTATGTCGCTTGAACACCACTAGCTGAACATAGCTCTCATTTCGATCTATGTTTTGGGGCTCGATTTGTGTCCCCTGGCGTTTAGTTTGTTCGAGCTGGC